AGAGAGAGAGAGAGAGAGAGGAGAGGAGGAGAAGGAAGAGAAGGAGGAGAAGAGAAGAAAGAGATGAAGGAGAGAGACGCCTTCGAGAAAACTTCTCAGCATCTTAGTCTCTGCGAATCTCATTTGCAGTGACCGACATTCGACACGGTCAACGATCCTCGAGCAACGGACGACGACGAAATAGAGAGATGAAAAAAAAAGAAGAGGCAGAAACACAAGACGAGCAAAAAGGCAGCTGACACGCTCGACATGCACGCGGGCCATATTTTTCGCCCTCTCGCTGCCTTCTTCTCTCTTCTTGTCCTTCACCTCCTCCTCCCATGCACACTCGTTCTTTACGCCGTCGATCGTCTCGGCGACACTCTACATCGCGGGAAAAAAATGCGTGTACCGGCGCGAGCCGGTTATTTCTATTCAACGAACAAGTCGAGCGCAAAACAAACTCATCCCTCACCCCCCCCCTTTCTTTTTCCCGATTGCATCTCCCATTTCCAGCCGTCACGTCGAACGAGACCTCGAATGTTCATCCACAAAGCACAATCTGTGTGACTCGCTCTTGCGAAACACGTCGGGGTAGCAAACTGCACGCTTTATTCGAAAGGCACACGCTCTGGACGACTCGTTGTTTTATCGTATCGGTCTTCCTGTATCCGTGTTCTATGCGCGCTCCTCTTTTTCTCACCGTTCGTTCTCACGGTTGGCCGCGCGTGGAATCGGTGGTAACGGTTTTATCGAGTCTAATTGTCGCCGAAAAGAAGAGGCGTCGTGTTAGTAAAAAAAATTTACAGAAACGATGTTTTCGCATGATATGGTGCGTATATGTACATATGTATACAGAATATATGTACATGCACGCGCGCACGCGACAACATATATCGGACTTGTAGAAAGCTGCTTAATCTCGCGGCGGATTCACGTGAAATAATCGAGAGAGAGATATATCTCGGTAATTTCCAGTACTCTCGCTTCACCGCACAGTGGCCGATTAAACGGGCTTCGAACTATCACGGTAAAACGGTTTTTATCATACATTTTGTTTTTATGCGGAGTTGAAGAGGGTCGCGCGATGATTTGCTGAAGAACCTGTCATAGGATACAATAACTCTCAACCGATAAAATGCATCCGAGATTATGAGATATATATTTAATAGCATGCTCTACGATTAATTGATAATGATACGAATGCGCTGCGAATTCAGAAATTCTTACAGTTTGTAAAAACTCAGCAAGTCGACGAGTAATGCGTTTCGCGCAATTTTAATTGACATGACTTCGATACATATTTGGAGCACTAATCGCGATCGTGCGATCGTTACCGTCGACGTATCGAAACGTAAATAATCTGAGTTAAAGACGAATGCTTCTTCTTCCTTTAAATAAAATAACCTTGGTTAAAAAAATAGAGATACGACAAATTGCTAGTTTGTCATATCTGAATTTCGTATCACGTGCTACAGTTTTTAAATAATTTTGATAATCTCAAAAAATAGCATTTTATCTTAATAATCCTCCCTCAGTCAGTCCTCTTCAATCTTCAGAAACAACGCAATTTCCATTCTATTTGCAAAACGAACACCGCGATATGCTCCAACGTTTTTCCGACATTTCACAACTTGCAAAGATAATGTTTTTATCGCGTCTCTTCGATTGCTACGTTACCTCGGCGATCAGTGCGAGATGAACGAAAGCAGCATAGCAGTGATACGGTGCATCCTTTCAACAAAGTAGGCGCTTACAACGGTCGGCTGATATATCGCGCTAATCGACGCGTAGAGATCAAACGCTCGCGGATTTCGGTCAAGATGAGGTGAGCAAACGACGTCGAGTAAGCACATCGAGCGTCAGCGCACCGAGTTTACGAGGACGTGAAGACGAAGAGAGGAAAGGAATACGTAGATGAAACTGGCCAGAATTGCGTCCATGGACCATGAGCGCTCGTATAGCCTCCAGTCGGCGAGAAAACCGAGGACCCGTGTAATGGCTCACGTAGGTGAACCCATGCACGCGGCTGAAATTTAAACCACTACCACCACCATCACCAGCACACAACCACTATCACCATTACCAACACCAGGAACCACTACTGCCACACTAGAGAGCACTCACCAGTACAAGCATCCACACACTACTGCCGCCACTGCCACCGGCGTATCACCACCCACCCTTTGCTGCGTGGTAGAGAGAGGGAGAGAGCGAGTGAGATGAATAGAGTGACAGGAATGAGAGGCGGAGTTGAGGGAGGCTAGCAACCCCCAGACCGGCGTCGCCGTCGTTTCGTCACGGAATCCACGCAGCGGACCGGCCGCCCCGCGCGCATTCCGACGAAATTCGGTGAATCTCTCTCGGTGAGTCTCCTTCGTTAGAATCGGCGAGGACGAGCAGCTTCACGACTGTGCGTCGCGTGCTGCGTGTACCAAAATGGTGAAGGTCGGCTGGCGTTGCCCGGCTCGTTTTCACTCGCGGCTCGCGGCGAGAGATGAAGAGAGAGAAAAGAAAGAGGAAGAGATCGAGAGAGAGAGAGAGAGAGAGAGAGAGAGAGAGAGAAGAGAGAGGGAGGAGT